GACCAGCGGTAGCAGCATCCAGGTCCTTGAAGACAACCAGGGGGCCATAGCGTTGGTGCAGAACCCCCTCAGCTCAGGTCGCACGAAACACATCGACGTGAGATTTTATTTCATCCGCGGATTGTTTAGGTCGGGGGATATTTTGGTCAAGTTCGTTCCAACAACTGAGCAACACGCGGACCTCCTAACCAAGGCCCTTAGCAGGGCTAGTCTGCAGTATCACCGGCGCAAGTTGATGAACTTGCCGGAGTAGCTGTAGCAGTTTCTAGCACTTGGGAGAGGTCATGTTTTCCATGCGGGGAAAGGCGCATAATTGTTGCGGTCTGTGTACCAATGGCAGGAGGGGGGCGTTAGTAGGCCATCGTCCGGGGGAATTTAGTTCCTCGCGTTCCTGTGTTCGCCTTGCCCTTTCTAATAAGTGCGGCCTTTGTGATTGGCTGTGATAGCGACGGGGTTTTGCCCGGACGCCGGGTTTCCCCTCCATATATTACCATATTGGTATTTTCTGATGTATCCAGGGACGTTCTTACCCCATTGATGGTTAGTCACTTGCGTGAAGAACCCGGGACGGTGTTCGTGGGTCTGCCAACATTGGTGTTGGATACATGTGCTGGATGATTTGGTGTCACTCAGACTGGAAAGGTTGCCGTTTGCTAGGGGGCACCGTGATCACGGGGCCCCTCCTTGCTGTGGGAGCCGCTCTTTGAGCTCTCCCTCTTTCGTCCGTGTGAAGGACGGTCGTCCACCTCTCGTGAAGTTAATACATAGCCAAAACAGTCTCACCCGATAAACAAGTGGCGTAGGCCGCAAACATCCACATGCTTTGACATCCACACCAAAGCACGGAACCTCCCCTCCCTTCTCACCGACACGAACAGGGCAGCAGCAGCAGCAGCTGGTCAACCCCCAAGGATACATCCCAAGATTCATATGTCAACGTGCAACGTCTATTGAGAGAGGGAGAACGAGAGCGCGCATCAGGACAAATTGAGTGTGGAGCCGGGGGGTCGTGGCGGGCGTGATGTTGCAGCGCTGGCAATTTTGGAGTTTGTCTCCAGACACTACAACTCGCGATATTGGTTCGTCAAGCACCCACAGTAGTGCCACACTGGTGGCCAGAGGGGCAGGTTGGGCACGAACTACAATCTGGGGGGGAAAGGTTGGGTGGCCGAGTTCGACCTTGAACCTATGTTTTCTTCAGGCTTGCAGCCTGCCGTGTTGATTGTAATGACACCACTATCCAAGATGCGCGATGACTTGCACACTTTGGGCTGCACCCTCCCTACAACCTCCCCCCCCAGGTTGTAGTTGGTGCCCCAACCTACGCACAACCTGCCTCTGGCCACCCGTGAAGTGTAACTTCGTCTCGTCTAAAAGTACCTACCTAGATGAGCAACGCTGGAGAGGTTTGTTGCCGACGGAAACCATTATGCACGTGCGCCACTACCGACAGGATATCCGCACAGCACGCAGCCTCTTGCGCAAGCACAACAATCGTCAATATCGTGATGTGAAGGGTGTTTTTCTGGACCAAGATTGGGCTTGGTCTATTCCTTTCTCCCGAGGAGAGCCACGTCCACTGGATTTTTGGGATTTTGGCCTTTTGCTGAAATGCCGAAAGAAATGTCCCCAAAGACTGCTCAGTTTGTTATTTGCCAGCCAGCATCCTGTAGCAGGCCTAGATGGCCGAGACACACGCGAGGAGGGAGAGAGAGCCAACATGCACCGGCTTGCGGTGATCACGACAGACAGAGGAGGGACAACGCGCGCTTATGACTGTCTGCACAGAGGGAGGGGGCGGGGTGCGGCCTTTCATTTTTCGGCAATGCTGTTTGCTCCACCGGTGGAGTAACCTCTCATTTGCTCCACCAGGCAGATCTCGACCCACAGCGCTCAAATCGAACTGAAACCAACTGCATCGTGTAGGTATGGACTACAGCTATCTGATATGGTACTTGGAAGCAAAATTCGACCGGTGGCTAAGGAGGTATGCTGAAAAAGGGGGGTTCTGCAGCATGTCAGGAAGCAGTAATCGTCTCGAACCTCCGTCTACACAACTCCGATTGGCCCCAAACCTTTTGCGCCGTGTCCGCACGGTCCATGCCGTTCTCCCAAGCTATCGGACACTCCTATCCGATATGTCCCCGCAGAGATATGGTCAACAGAGGGGGTTCCGCAGCATCTACGGGGGAGAAAATGTCAATTGTCCCGCTATCCCCCCCATCCCATAGCTGAACCGCGCCTAACTCTGACCGCACCGTATTGGCACGGCTTGCAGCTATTATTCAAGCCATCGTGCACCCGAATCGGACCAGTTGGTGCAGGCAAACGCCCACCCATGGGGGCGCAGTGGCTCAACGGTCGGTGGAACAGAAAAGCTTAACTGCTCCAACAGGCCAACTCCATCCACCAGGCGTCATTTGTCTTACGAAGACTTGCATTGTGTCGGCACAATCGGACCGGTGGATACGGAGAAACGTCCATCCACGAGGGCTCAGCAGCTCAACGGTCGGTGGAGCAGATAAGCTCAACTGGTCCACAAGGCAAAACTCTATCTACCGGGCGCTTTTCGTCGTAAGAAGACTCTCGTTGTGTTGACACGGCTCACAGCTACATCATACTAGCCATGAGGCACCCCAATCGGACTAGTGGATGCAGAGAAACGACTCCCAACGGGGACTCAGTGGCTCAAGGGCCTGGTGAAGCAGATACGCTTTTCTGCTCCAACAGGCCAAACTCTATATACAGGGCGCAGTTTGTCTTGCGGAGACTTGTGGCAGGATAGGGGTACACCCCCTGGATACGGGGTAAAGTTTGTCAAACGGGCACCCCCCCGGTGTTTGCCATCGTGGTTGGGTTTTCGTCGCTTGGCAACGACGTTGTAAAACAAGCCAACTCACTTCGTGAACTCGGCAACCAGGTTACCGCTTTTTCTTTTTGTAGCTCCGTTTTTTTTTGGCGATAACCATAATGGTGGTCGAGTAGATCATGTTGTGCGGGGT